CGAGATGGACTCGTCGTTCAAAGTAAGTTCAATTGCAGAATAATTTTCGTAGGGACCTACATATAGAACAACTTAATTCAAACCCCATTTATAATGCAAAGGATTTAATTCGGAAAATAGACGATCGGCGAACAAATGAGGTAATTGAAAAACACGATGAAGTTCATATGTTTTTCTGCATTTATTAGTCGAAACTCCATATCCAGGGTAGGAATTCCGACACCTCCGATGGACAGGTTCAGGGATCGGATCCAGGGAAGGCACATCGATCCTCGGAGGCATTTCCGGTACCAGCTGGAAATTAAAGTTGTACGTCGCAGCTGCGACTCGTCTTTCGGAACACAGAGCCGTAATATCGAAACCCCGATGGCACTGAATGAAAACTGACATCGACACTACCACCCCCTTCCCATCCCGAGGGATGAGCCTGAGGATGGCTGGTTAGAGGGGTACTCTTTCGATTTTATCAGGTTTTGCAGTCGGTTCTTTTCCCTTCGAACTGTTACATGTACCAATAAGTGGTTCGCTGGTTCTTGTGAAATAATGTATCCGGTTCGAAATAATTAAAAAGCTCTATGGTACATCGACAGCTATATCATCCGTCGCCATTTCGACTGAAAAGAATGATGGGAAAAATATTCTGTATTCAGACTGTATTACCATCACATTCAAACCATAGTGGATTACGAATATTAATTTACAAACAGTGACGAATTTCTGTAATTTTTATTTGTGCAACGACTTAACAAGGAAATTCCGCCGTTTCGTGAACAACATGATTTTTCTTGACCATAACAGTGAATAACAGGTGATCCAATGTTCTCCCGTTCGAGATTTCGTCGCGCGTGATTTTTCCCGGAACAGTCCCAAGGCTCTAATAGCAACGATTACGTCACTAGCCCATTGTGCCTGCGTAACTCGTGTTCATTATCGTTCAGGCGACAAAGAACTATAAAGTCGACACGCGAATGACTGGAAATTCCACGAAGTATCGGGTCGAAAATGAAAACAAAAGAAAGAAATAACTGTTCGAAGCGCGAATGTAATTTCGGCGGGAAATTCAAATCGTTTACCGTCTTGTAGTTGCTGCTTCGGGCGCCACGTCAAGATGGCGGCGTGTAATTCACAAAAGAGAAATTCGCGGGGCACGTTTTCGCTTTGAAAATATTCCTCGAAGACCCCGCGAGGCGTGAATTTGCATTCCAAAGTGCACTGATGCGAACGTGCTCCTCGAGAAGCGGCAGATAAACGGCTGGCACACGATAAATCGGTAGAAACGTGGGCTTAACAAAGCGCTTTTAACCGTGAAATATCTGTTTCGTAATTCGTACACAAGCTTCTCTTGTTTCATTCAAACTGATTATGTATTTAAATTAACCTGGGATGACGAGCTAAGTCGTCACGTGGATTCAACTATATTAATAATAATAACAGTAATAATAATTTATTCTAACGGGCGTAAAACCGTCGAATATACATTCAAATAACAGAAAGAACATATTAATAAAATTAAACTTAATCATAATTAGGATTAAAACTAAATAGAAGAAGAAAAAACAAGAAAATATGAATATATATATATTTCTCGAAAATTATTAGTTTCCTTATTTATTTATCATTACAATGTCCGTAGTAGCGTAAATTACTGTGGTAAATTATTTATATTTTCTATAAAGTGAATCACTTTTTATTACTGTAATTCATCTTTAATAACGTCCATATATAAAAAATAGATATATTCCTGAGTTTTATCTAAATGCTAGTCCCGGGCCAAGTCCTTGTGCTTCACTCAGCCCGAATCATTTTTACGGCGTCGAGAAGCATAAAATTTTATACAATCGAGCACTAATGGCATTTATAATGTTCCGTCACGTTGCATTTCGATTTGACGTGCCAGACGATATTTTCGATGGAAAGATCGTCTAAAACTATTTATGTATATTTTTTTTCCGTCGAATATTCAGCTCGAGCGTTCGTGCATAAACTGATCCGAAAACTATATATATATATTTTTTTTTACGTCGATTCGGTGCATACGCGGCTTAAAGGTCAACGACGATCCGTTTATATTCGAAGCTTCGATACTCCTTGAGAACGCCATAAAACTAGGCGGCTTAAGGAGAATATCAATCTGTGAGAAAGACAAAAAAAAAAAAACTTTCCTCGAGCGATAATCAATTCACGGAGATGGAAAGAAACACGTCGGAGCCTAGCTGTCTGCCAGTTGCGCGGGATCGACCGGACCGACCGTTCGATACATTACGAGAGCTTGGGCCCACGTTCTGCTAGAAGCTTGTGGTCACCGAGTATTACCAAACGGCTACGATCGATAAATAACAGCTGATACGTGTCCGGAGTGTCTACTTTCCCTTCGATTTACCTACTTGGTAATTTATTGGACGGCTCGCGGAGCGACCGATGTGTCCGAATAAGAGTTAGGGTATCCCCTAAGTTTGGGTAGGTACCGTTGAAAGAGCCATCGAAAGTTGTTTATCTGTAATAATTTCTAGACGTCTGAAATTGTTTAAAGTAGACCACGTTACGACTAACAGATAGAGTAATTTATTGTATGGCACACGGGAGGACAAGAAATGTCTTAGCAAATGATAAGACATCCCCTGAGTTTGGGTGCCGATGAAGGAGCCATTAAAATTTTAGTTTCGAATGATTTCGTTAAATGTGATATTTTATTTATAATAGAGTAATCATGAATAATAGAGTTATTTATCGTATGGCTTTAGGAGGGATCTATATGTCTCATCCCCTAAGTTTGGGTATCGTTAAAAGTGCCGTAAATGTGGAGTTATTAAGATTCAGGTCTGTTAAACAAAGTCTATTCAACATTATTTTCGTAATTATCTGTATTTACCATCTGGTAAATTAATATGGCTCGCGGATGGACCAATGTGTCTGATCAAAAGTTAGAGTATCCCCTAAGTTTGGGGCATCATTTGAATATTTTCGTTCCCCGCGATATTTCTCAATATAAAATTGTGTACGACAGGCCGAAAACTGTTGAACAAAGTATGTTTGACCTCGTTCTGCCCATTATCTATGTTCCAGAGGCTAAGTTTCGACCACGATAGGACGTTGAACGTCGTTTCGCGCACATGACGGATCGCTCCTCGTCAGTTTTAATTAATACCCGCGATTGCTGAATTATTTTCCCCTGGTAAAACGAATTACCAAGGTCCGTGTCCAGGCCCCACCCTTCCTAGTTCTTGAATCGACGCGATTATTCAACCCCCGAATAATTATATCCCTTCATTAGAGGAGCAGAAGCTCCCGCCTACCAAAACTTTCCCTCGTTCTCCCCCACCCCCTCCCCGACTCACCCTGGTCGCGTTCCGAAATTTATATTCCAGTCCACATCGGCGGAAACTGTCGTTAATCTTGTAGCGCAGCATCCAGCCGCATTAATTATTAAAACACCTTGGTCCCGAAACTTGCAGCCGGACGCCTTGAACTTCTCTCTCGTCGCTTTTGTAGAGAGAGACTCTCCCTACGCGTGTGAGTCACTCGACGGGATGATCGATCCGTGGACCGTTAACGAAAACGCATATAAACTGTACGATTCTTCATTGAAACGCGCGATTCCCCCTGCCTCGACGAGAATAATGTTGTCTTTGACCCTGAATCCTAGTTCGGACCTTGAACTTCTTGGTCTTCAAGAAATTCGGATGTATACTCACTTGAATCGTGAGTCATCTCGTAACGTCGTTGATCTGAACGTAAATCTTCGAAATAAAAGGCGTATAATAAAGTGTATAATGGATCGTTCAACTGCAATTGCCTGTCCAGAGGAGATAAAATCCATCTTTGACCCTGAATCCTAATTCGGACCTTGAACTTCTTGGTCTTCGAGGCGGTGAAATATGCTCCGTATGAGCCATGTTGTACCGTAATCGATATAAATTACTGAGAAAATTGCATAATTGATTGTTGAACTGCAGTTGATGGGAATGGAACGGAGAGATCGATATCTGACCTTTAATCCCCTAGCCCGGACCTTGAAGTTCTTGGTACCCAGGGGATCACAGAGTTTGCACGATTCACCGACCTCTCTGCTTGACCGAGACCCAATTCTCGAGAAACTGTACATACTTAAGTTACGATCAGATGTTGAGTATTTGTATAGAAGTATAGTTCTCCGACCCAGAAAATTAGCTAAGAATAAATGAACAATTTGAATCCTGATTTAAAACTAGTCTAGGATTAATAATCGATGAATGTTGATAAAAACAATTCGATTTATAGTCATATTCAAATTATAGCAAGAACTTCAAAATTCGACACTTAACTTAGACATTATCCAGGCCAATACAAGACCACAGTATGAATAATCTAAGTTCTAATGTAGACCCAGTCCAGATGGCCCTAGTCCAAACGAAGGCCTAACTATGATGAAGGATGTCACAATCTGGTCTTTGACTTCGAATCCCAAAGCATGTTCACACCAAATCAAGACAACAGTATGAACAATCTGAACCCAAATGCAACCCTGGTCCAGGTCTGGTCTAAGCCAAAGCAAGACCCAGCAATCATCGAAAGTGGGGAACTTGTTCAGGAGAACGACCCAAAATCTTCTGCGACCAGAATAACACGAATCCTAATGCAGTCCTAATCTTTGACCTCACTCCTATCGAATACCCAAACCATCATCTAACGGTGCCAGAATCTGTGGAATCCCATTACCAGGTAGCTAAACTCTGATCAAAACAGGCGACAACCTCTCCCTTGGCCTTCAATCGCGGTGACATTCACCCTGATCGACGGTCACTCGTCGTCCCCACCATATCGCCACGGGCAATTACACCTCTATAGGCGCTGGTCAGGTGGAATATAAAGCCGGCGGCGCCGAGAGTGGACAGCCGTTTAGCCGGTCCGGTCCCTGGGACCGGTTCTTTTGCGTCCGATCGCTCGATTTCCGGGTGTTGCTCGTAAATTGTGAATCCGTCAACGACACAAAGTACGTATTCGATAGTTCGATCACGATCTATTCGACGGCGGTTAGATCCTTTCGGAACTGGGTTGAAGATCGTTGCCAGGAATCGAATTTCCCGGAGGAAGCTGAGGAAAATGGCACCCAAGGGACTCGCGATCCGGGTCACGTTGACGTTGATCGCGGCCTCCGTGGGCCTCGCGGATAATACCTGGCCGTCCTGCGTCGGAAAGACCATCCTGAGTGAGTATCTAGTCACCACTAGATTCTAGTGGATCAGGACAGCTGGAGACGACGATTTGTGACCGAGTTTTCTCGGTAGAGACCGGAGAATTCTCGGGGGAAAGTGGAGAAATTAAAAATATATTTTGAGGGTATTGGAATAACTGGATGTTCTAAGAAAATTATTTATTTCGCAAATGGCGGGAAATTTGAACGATTTTAAAGACTATATTTTATGTCACTGATTTCATTTAAATATTAACACTCAATAATTAATTCTGGCAGTAAAGTGAAATAAATATTGCAATGCAATATTACAAACAATTTCGTGTGATTAAATAACGTGAATTCGAGATCCTCAGTTTAGGAACCAATAAACTAATAGGTAGTACAAGAAGAATCTTGTCAGTTTTTTCAATAATAGCGTTGTTTTTTTTTAAATTTCGCCCTCAACAGTATACCTTGTACAATATTACATAATTATTCACAAAAAGGAATAATTTCTCGAGTGTAAGAATTCGCGGAAGTAACCCTGCCCGTGGCCGCCATCTTGGATTTCAAGCGCGGGTGATTCATCTCTCCGCGCGGCGATTTGAATAATCTTGTCGGCGTGCCACCGTGATCCCAAGCCCGCGGATAAGAACGTGACCAGACATAAGCGGAGCGTTTAACGAGTCTCGTTACTCGAACAACTCGAACCAATCCGTTCACCCCGTCACGCGTCAGCCGAACAGCTTTTTCCATCAGCTGTAGTCCTCCTTCATTCATCATCCTAATCTCTGCCAGACAAGGTTGGATCCTCGATCATTCGAAAACGCCAGTTCGTCGAAGCATCGACTGATCCTACACTCCATTATCCGAACGGTACATCGACACTCCGTTATCGAGACTGTAAATCGACCCTCTATTATCCGAACATGAGCGATACGAGTTTTTGTTCCTCGAGTCACGGGATACAAGGCTCTCTTATCCGAACGGTTCGTGGACTCTCCATTATCCGAACACAAAGCGACATGAATTTCGGTCCTTGAATCTGGAGACACGGATCATTGGAGACGGCGATTGGCTCAGTAACGATCAACAACAATATTTTACGTACACGTAGTCGTTTAAGACGATATACACGAATTATAGCGGTGCCGGTGACCGGGTCAGTCGAGACCCACGACATGATAGCAACGGTTAGAGATCAAATAGGATACTATACTTTCATCCAGTGTCAAATTGGGTACCATACTTTCATTACATTTGTTACTGTTATTAGCCAATAGGAACGCAACGATCCACTTCGTCTTTCGATCGCCATTATTATGGCTATTATGATTGTTCAACCGACGAACAGTCGTTTTCACAGCAGGACAATGAAAAAAATCGAGCAAAGTCCCCGCGAAATCGCGGCTGGACCGGTCGAACCGGATTTCTAATTTATTTCCGGAATTTCCGTCGTTCCATTGACCGAAGCCATATACACGCGGCGGTTGTAGAATCGATCCCAGCGTTAGACGGGAAGCGTCGTCGAATGGGAACGAGCCAGGGCAGGTCTGAATGGAGGCGTAGTGTATATACCGAGTGTATTTATTTAACAGGCCGCCGTTCCCACGGAGAATCCGTTTTGAAACGCTGGGAGGCCGCCAGACAGAATGGAGTCAGCAGGTGTCGGCCGTGGTCGTTACGTTACCCGGCCAAGCCCAGTTCATTTCCGGTGGAAAAAGAAAGAGAACAAGCGGCCACCGTCCTCTTTAGCACCTGATTAATTCCATCGAATAATAGCCCAACAGTCTCTTCCAATCGGCCCTGTAATTTGTTATTCGGGGCATTCGATACCAAAATGGCGGACCTTCTCGCGACAATCGATCGGGAACTAACGACGATGATTCGACGAGAATACATAGTTTGTACTATTAAGTATACCGATCAGTAATTCACTGTGGTTAAAATAACAATATAGTATAATTTAAATTCAGTATATCTTTCCTATTTTTCGTTCAGTCAATATCACGTAGTATGTTACCGACGAATAATAGATATTGTTAAAGTAACATATATGTTCGAGTTTTCAGAACATAGAAGTCTATAAAGAAAAATCTAATTGCTTAATTATCGATCCACATAATAATATGAATATTTGAATGTTTATAGAATCACGTTGGTTAAACGAATAGAAAGGAAGGCGTGAAGAATCTTACTAACGAGATAACACGTCCTCTATCTGGTTAATGGGTTACGCATAACATGTCCGTAGACGGTGTAGAAGATTGTTTATTTACCTTTGGATAACGGGTGTTTATGTAAATTGGACGTTTTAGCGGCTGCTTGTCTCTCTGTTTTTTTTTCCCGCTGCGATCGGTGTCGTCGAATTTATACGAGAAACATCGGTGATACATAAATACAGCAGGGTACTTTCAATTTTGTAAATGTCAATGATAGTGAACCGTCGCGATTAAAGTGATTGGTAGACAGTTCGACGCGTAAATATTTACATTTCTTAATAGTCGGAACGCTTATACACATCTTACGTAAGGTCTTTCTAAGACGTTTATCTGGAGACGACTGATTCGCGGCTAATGGGTTCATAATTAACGTCCATTATTGCAGAATTATCTTCGAATTAAATAAAATGTGAAGCATAATCGGACGAATCCGTCGAACGTCGATTATTGCAGAATTATTTTTCGAGTTAAATAAAATGTAAAGCATAATCGGACGAATTCGTCGAACTTTCGCGCGATCGATCACGATACGTCTCGTGAGGAAAAAAAAAATAAATCGAGAAGAAACAGAATAATTTCGATTCGGAGCGAAGTCGTTTCACCGGGGATTTGAATATTAAACGAGACGAAGAAGAGAAATCGCTCGCGGGAACACCTGCGCCTAAACGGCTATATTTGAAGCTAATTATGGAACCGGCAATTAAAAATAGCACTGGAACCATTCCGTGTGTAACTGTAAACCCGGATAAGCAGTGTCTCGAAACGTCGAGATTTATCCTCGAACGGACCCAACGCAAAACTTTCCAGTCGTGTGCGATGATCCGACTTTTTCGCGTCTTTTAAGTAGAACTGGACTCGATTTTCAAGATGGCCGCCTACAATAAATAATACAATTATGCACAACAGAAGAACAAATTCGAAAAGGAAAGTCGAGATTTATCCCTGAAGTGGTTGACCAAAACTTTCCAGTCGAGTAATGGTCAATGTTTTGGGTGTCTTTTAACAACTGGTCTCGATTTCGACGACGAAGAATCGATTTAGAGGTGAAGTAATGAATTAATTGATAAAACAAGTAGGAACTCGGCACGAAGAAACGTGATTTATCCTCGAAACAGGCCGTCCAAAAGCTTCCCAGTTAGATAACGTTCCTTTTAACGAAAAAATTCCGGGCGTCCTTTAAATTCGAGACGCTGTTTCCAAGATGGCCGTCGGCTCGACGATCGGTTCGACGACTGGTAAAACGATTTAAAAGGTGAAATAATGAAGTAATGGATAGAGAAAAAAGGAAGAGGAACTGGTCGCGAAAAGACGGACAGGTTTATTGCTCCGGTTTCTCGTTCGGTTCGTATACCACGGCTGGTCTAGGAGAAGGGGGATTCTCATGAATAATTCAGACCGTACATTATTTACAGGGAGAAAATTGGAATCTATTACATTTCGATAGGAACGTCCCGTGGATCGATTCCACGTCTAAAAATAGCGCGTTCGGCCGGTGGACGGCTGAATGCGCGGGCCGCGAGACTCGATTACATTAGCGAATTAAAGCGGCAAGTTAATTACGGGAAATCCGTGCCCGGTCCGACAAGACAATCGGGACCCGCCGGATTATTATTATTCCGTGCGTTCCGACCCTTTTCCCGCGGCCGCCATTTGCAAATTTAAATCGAGCATCTGGTCCCTTTCGAAAGGACCATTCTATTTGTGGATCTCCCATTGTTTTCTACGGTTGTATTTTCTTTTGTATTTTAATTACAGTTAATTAAAGATTCGCTGTAATTCAGTCTGAAGACCGAGTAGCTCCAGACGGTACATCTGGAGCAATGTGACTCTCGGGGAGCGAGCGCTTATCGCGTAGGCCCCGCCCCCTTCCGTGTAAGCGCACCCTCGATGGAACTTCAAGCTCATTTATCTCATAAATGGTTAAGAAAAACCATTAAATAAACAAAATATAATAGAACACAAGGTCGGTATAAGTGGAAAAAATGTTTCTTCGTAAAATGAAAATAGTCGGGAGAAATTCGATTCCCTGTTGTTCCAGTCACCGACAGCGTGGAAATTTGCATGGAACTAAAGAGGGGATAGGCGGGGCCGGAACCTCGTTTTCGTCGGGGAACTAAAAGTTATTAAGGGGAAAGAATACGGCGGAACGAAACTTTCGCACGGAAAGACAGAGGGAACGTCGTTAGAGCAGATTCCCGGAAAAGTTTTCCGGCGAGTTGGGCAATCTAGCGGCCCGGGAAAACGGATGAAGGCCGGATTGGGGAGGTTGGGAGGGGAGAATGGGGGTGTGGCGGGACCACCCACAGCCCCAGGAATGGACATTCGATTCTCTCGGTCGCGAATTATCGGACTATCTGGCTGCATAATAAAGCGCTCTTTGCACAGTCTGCTCCCCCGGTATTTTCTTTGTAAATGATGGGCGGGCTGCGTTTTCGTATTCGTCGGTTCCATCCACCCTTCCGCGCGGACCTTCAGCTACCATGGAAGTATTAACAGTACGTAACCGGTTTAAATTCTGTCTCTTAATTCTTCTTCTTTTTTTTATTAAAATAAACAGAATGAATGTTATTGCTTGTTCCGTGAATAATATGGAGATTATTAAGGTCTCGTTTGGCTTCGTTAGGAATAAAATTGGAATCGTTATTGGATGACCTGTCTTCGAGACCAGTATTATTATATGAAAATAGAAGAGGGTGAAATTACTGTACTTTCAACAACGAATCAACGATTACCAATCAACAAACCTCCTCTAAAATTCACCCGTTGCCACCGTGAAGTCCTGTATTAATATTAAATTTTCACGTGAACATAATTAATCTCGCACTTATCGAACACACACATCGGAAAATGAGAAACACGCAGACGGAGCATCCATTTAAGGCAGATTCGAATCGCTTCCAGGATCCGGCGGCTTATCGTGCGAGGAGAAACAGGCCATCTTGGACGAGCATAATCGGCTGAGACAACTGGTGGCTCTGGGGCAGATTCACGGACAGCCGGGGGCCGCGAATATGAGGGAAATGGTAAGGGGTTGCTTGCTTAATCTCCTCGCTGCATCTTATTGCGATATTCCTGCGGCTCTTCGTTCCTTTTTTGCCTCCCGAGAACGTTAAACGAAACCGCGAGTTTCTTTACAACCCCCGTTCTTTGATCATTTCGCGGTCAACTATTAATTCCAAGTCAGAATTTTGTGCATAAATAGGAATACATACTTTTTTGGTTAATATAGTTACAGTTGTAGTAAGATTAAATGTCATTTAATGGTAAAATTAAATGTTGTTTAAATGTTATTAAACTCAAATAGTCATCCTAATGAGTTAGTGAGGTTATAATGGTAATAGGTAACTCACTGACCATTATTTCTTGTTGAAATCGATATTCACTTCTGTAGAGTTCGACGATTCATTGTAGCTTTTGATTTATGAATGGTCAGAAACGCGTTTTTAATTGAATATAGACACGCGCTAACGGTTAATTTCAAAAAGAAAATATGGCGACGCATGATAAAATCGTATTGATAACAATCCTTACAGGTCTGGGACGATGAATTGGCGACGATCGCTCAGAAATGGGCGGATCGATGCGCGGAGAACCACGACAATCTACGAAACGTCCGTACGTAAATTCCCATTTCGATACATTCTTCTCACACAGTATATACACTCCCACACATAAGTACTAAAATACTTATCGAATATGCAGTAAACGTCACAAGGCATTACGAAGTCGTTGAAAGTCCAAAATAAGTATTCTTAAGAGAACATTATACCTCAATGGAAAACACTTATACTACTATAAAAATCAAATATACAATTTGTACGAAACACATTTTCTTCGGAAGCACCAGGTGTCCTAAACTTATAAGCGGTACTGTACCCGAATTAAAAATTTTTCCGATGAGTCACCAGTGACCCGGTCATAGTATCCCACGAGATTCGATTCAAATTTTTCCTATTAAAATTTCAATTCTCTTATATATCGACCGTAGAAAGGTTCGCGGTTGGCCAGAACATCGCGAGGACCTGGACGACCAGGCCCCCGGGGCCCTATGACGGTCAGCCGAACTGGCGACAGCGGATCACCGATTGGTTCAACGAGGTGCAACAGTATCAGTCTGGTTACAGCGACGCGACCGGTCACTATACACAGGTAAACGGCGCGAACACTCGAAAGAATTACCTCGAAGGTTCGCGGAAGGGGGAGGGGGGAGGGAAGGTACGGAAAATCGAATTTCGCGGGAGATTCGGCTGACTGACTGAGTGCTCTCGAATTACTGGTTGCAGCTCGTCTGGGGTGACACGTTCCTTTTGGGCTGTGGTTACTCGTTCTACTACGATCCCGCCAGGGGCTACACGAAGAATTACGTTTGCAACTACGGGCCGAGGTAAGGTTACCGCACGGTAATCCAGAATAAAAATTTAGCAGTTCATTAAAAGAGAAATCTTTGAAAGTTATAATTTTAATAAAATAGTCGATGGAAATAGAACAAAATCGATTGGTTAATAATAAGTTGATAAGTTTTTTTGGGAAGGGAATTAGAAGAAATTTGTTTTTCACCGTTTAAGCTGCTGAAATTTGATTCTGGAACTGTGGGACAGTTTGAATTTCCCGCCGTGATTTGGTTATCGAAATATCGCACGGAGAATAGAGAATCTTTCTGTCATTATAGTTATTTAATTTTTCGTAAATATTCATGACTGAAAATATTCGATAAGTGTTCCACACCTGAATCGGTATTAGATTGTTGAAATAATATTAATTTTTGACGAAACTTCGGGAAAACGGGAACAATTATCGAAAAGTACGAGGAGGGAAATCCGCGGAACGATATTTCAGCTTTTCGACGTGATCCCGGCAACGACGCGAAAAGAAAACAGAATTCACCGGTGTATTGAATCCGACTACGGGGTGGTTCCATAAATTTTCCCCCGTTTCTCGAGTATTTCCTGTCAATCGGCAGCTTATTACTGTCGACAAATTGAACGCGTCGTCGTCCTCGTCTACAGGCCGCCGCTATTTTTCCCCGAAAACAGGAGAAAAATGTCCCGACACGCCACCGGGAATATTTATTCTCGATTTTTATTCAATCACCCAAGCCCCTCTCAAAAGTCAATAATATTTTAGGTTATGTTACAAGTAATTTCCGTTTCCCTTTTTCGAAATGCACAACGTTCCAAGATACTTTACGATTAACATTAATACACTGCATATTCTCGATGGTTATTCAACTTAACATTAGAATTCTCTGATTCAATATACCAGGCGTGACAATAAAGTTTCGAGAATAATTCATTCTGGGATCGGCTAAAAGGTTCTCAATCTTTCTTTGTTGTTACAGCGGCAACGTTCTTGGCTACCAGCCGTACCAATCCGGCCAGCCAGCTTGCGGCAGCTACGGGATGTCTTACTCGAATCGATACGCCGGACTTTGCTGTGAGTTTCGATAAATAACAATTTCGGCGTTTCCCCCTAACAACATCCTTCGCGAACTCTGGTCGACGTAACTCGAATTACCTTCCCGGTAGATCGCAGACGTACCGCGCGAAACATGCGTTTTTTTATTAACAGAAACACGAGGATTTCATTACAGTAGAACCTCCTGTATCCGAACTGACAGGAAGACATGAGCATTCGGATAATGGAACATTCAGATGGTGGAACGGTGGAATAGTAGAGCGTTCGGATAGTGGAACGTTCGGATAATAGAACGTTTAGATAACAGCAGGTTCGGATAACAGAACGTTCGGATAGTAGAACATTCGAATACTGGAACATCCAGAAATTAAGTTGTTCGGATGCGGGAGGTTTTACTGGGAAACAAATCTATTTCAGTACATTCCACGTGTCAAGAAATGCATGGACGTTTGCGGTCTCTTCGTCAGTCTATCTTCCGCCGCGGAAGCGAACAGTTCAGTCTTTGTGCTTTCCTGACATTTGTACGGTTTATAGTGATTATTTTACATTAATCCTCAAGTACCTTGTCAGACGGGTCGCTGGTGACCCGTTGATGAATCACCAGGTGACCGAAAATATTCCGGGTCACTATTGACCCGGTTTAGATTTTATAGTACCCAATACTTCAGAAATTGTTATTGTAGGTAATATTAATCAGAAAATTAATTGTAATATGTATTTAAAATTTATTCATCGATTTGCAGCTCGTGGCAGTTACTACCATTTAGGCGCGTACTGCGCGTACGGCTAGTACTCGGATGATTTAGGAAAATTTATCAAATAACGAGGATCGTGTCGATGGTTGAAGGATGGTCGTTCGAGGATCCAGAAAACATTTGTCGAGGATCAACTAGAGGGAGAGGGAGAACGTCGAGTTTGATAGAGACACTCTTCGCCGATCTGGGCCAGGACAGTGTTTCTCAGACGTGAACTTCCAACAAAGTGATTGTTTCTTCTTTGAAAGTGTTTTCTTTTTCCCGTAATGATTGCGTAGAGTGCCTCGTTTGAGAAACACTGACGTCGTTAACCTTTTCTAGTCTGCGAAAGATAGTCTGTACGTCGTAGCGTGTAGTTAATAAAGGAGAGCTAATAAAAGGATGATTAAGTTAACAGTTGGGAAAAAAAATTGCAGAGGAAAGGAGCGTGGAGAAGACAGTAATCTAGGTACTCTTTCCATGCATTCTACATCGCGTTTTCCCTTACGTGACCCTGGCACGTATAAATATTTACGAGGGTGAGAAAGATACGGTGCACGCTTTTTTCAGCGGTGGCACGTTGACTACGCTTCCCGTGAGCTGTTTCGATTAATCTCGACACAATGCGTACAATCACACACTTAGTTCCGTTTTTATAGAGCAGACGTGTCCCCGAAAATTGTTGTAAGAAAATTATTAATATTGTAAATATAGAAATGCATGTCACCGTTGACAATGATTGTTCTTATTTTACAATAAACGCGTACAATAGAGAATTGTTTATTGGTTTAGTCTTATGACTATATTGAGAAACAGAAGTTGTTGGAAACAGAGTGCAATGGAGAAATAATTCTCCTTGACCCCCGAAAATAATATGTGACGTCATCTACGACGAAACGTATTAGCTCGATATTATCTTCGCTTTAGAATACTTTACCGATGATAACACCGATTTCCCGAACCTCACCACGAGCAGGTTGTTACGAGTGGAGGCCCAAGGCAGATAGATGGAATCACAAGTTCCGCATCTATCCACCTTTCACAATAAACCTTATGAATAATTTAAATCTTAATTATCTAATACTATTTTAGCGCTACTTCTGTCCTTCGGTCTCGCTTCAACCCTACCAAAAGACTGCGCAGTCTATTCTATATGTTATGTATCTGCCTGCATTCTGCACTGCTTCCCGTGATACGCGTCTCGTTTAGTTCACATTTGCACAGCTCTTACACCGCTAAACGGGCATCATTCTTCTTCGTCTTGCATTAGATTCGATGTTTAAAGAACGTCGATTAATAATCTCTAACGGCTGGAAAACAGTAATTACAAGAACTTTGTTCAAATCACATTTATTTGAAACGATTGACACTGCATCTCGTCATGCCTACACCGTTTAGTTCAATTTGGAAAGCTCTTACATCGTTATACGGACAGCTTTCGTTTACATAAAGCACTCAATTTGTAGCTGAAAGTACGTAGATTAATCCACTGTCATTGAAAATAACAATAAACGGCCGGAACACTGTTAAAATCGCATTTAATCGCGGAATGCCACTATTTTTTCGACCGGTGGCGCCATCCGTGGCGAATCGGTGAAACTGCTAACCAATTATATGGCTAGCAGTTTCAGCGATTCGCCACGGATGGCGCCACCGGTTTAAAAAATAGTGGTATTCCGCGATTAAATGCGATTTTACCAGTGTTCTGATTGTTTATTGTTATTAGCAATGACAGTGGATTAATCCACGTTCTTTTAGCTTCAAACTGAATGCTTGATCAAGACGTAACTTGTCCATAGAACGTTGGAAGAGCTATTTCAAGTGAACTAAACGGGGTACGCATCGCGATATAAAGTATCAACCGTTGCAAATAAAGGGCGATTTTAACAGTGTTGTGGTCGTTTATTGTTATTGCCACTGACTGGAGATTAATCTACATTCTTTCAGCTACAAGTCGTGTGCCTGGTCAAATCAAATGCTGTCCATATAACGTCGTGAGACCTGTCTAAATATGAAGTAAACAAGGAGTGCTTGAGGTGACCCAGTGACTTCATCCATGTTTCCGGGGCTCTGTGATCCCGCGATCTCACCCCGCGGTGTGCCGGCGCCGCCCCAGAGGGTTCTATGACCCCACGGTCTCACCTCACGGGTCTCTGGTTTACTACACAAACAAACTACTGCCTACATGTTTTAAACTTGGGCTGTAGTAGTATCTGCAGAAACAACCATGGTTGCTGGGGTTATTATCCAATTTGTTCACGGGAACACGCACAAGCGTCAGTCCCAATTCGACAGTTACACGAGCAACATGCGACCGAGCTCGAGAGTTGTACGAGCAACAGCGATAAAGGATCACCTTTCAAATGTGTACTGACGCAAGCCATTTCAGTACCGTTCATTGTCCCGTAATCCACATGTAATGACAACAGATCGAATCCGGCAAAGGACTACTGCAAATTATTACACACATCTATCGCATACTCATGAAACATTAAACGGAAAAGTATATATTTTTTCACTTAACTACAAGACAATTTATTCTAAATGCATCGTTAATGGATTTCATTCGTTTTTATATCTTGCCTTACACTTGTATATTTGTAACAGATAAATTCAGAATAGATGTAGTTTCATAAGTAGTTTATCAAATCTACCTTTTGGCCGTTGCGGGAATGCCTTACCGTAATGAGCCATCTCGTGGCCGCGGGATTCCGGGAATCGGGTGACGTCACGGCGTGCGAGCGAGAGCGGTAGAGCGAGCCGCGGTATCGGTGCTCTCCGTCGGTGTTGACGGATGCCGAGGAATTTCGGTGGTCTATGGGAGGGAGGTGTGCGAGCGAGAGAGTACGGTAGAGCGTGCCGAGTATCGGTGCTCTCCGTCGATCCAACGCGCTAGTGAGTTGCGTCACTCAGTTTATTGATTTAGCCGTGTACGCCGTGTACCAAGGTCGTACCATCCCGTGCAGGTCTGTGCTTGCTTCCTCAGTTTATCGTGAACCGTCGCGGAGGGTGGTCGCGCGTCTCATACTCGTCCTTTCTCTTGTTACTAATCCATTGTTTGTTGCAGGCATTCCACAACCATCAATTTATTTACTGTTCATATTATTAATCTATTTACTGTGCATATTGTTGTGTCCCCTCTCTTGTTACTAATCCCTTGTATGTTACAGATGTTCGAGAACCATTGGCTT